TGTGTAATAATCCCTGCGGTATAGCATTATAATAACCCCATCAATGTATCTAATAATAATAATTGACACTTTTATTAATCCCCGTGGGGAAATTCTTTCTACGCTTCCCTCAACTTGCTCTTTGTAGAGCAAGCTGTCTGTGAAGGGCAGCCACCCGTAGCGGCGCCCAGGGAGCTGGGGGTAGAGGGTCTTGTTCAAGGAACCGCAGACGTGCTGAGGCTGGGCTTGAACCAGCGACCTTGTGATTATAGGCACACGGCTTAGCCCACTGAGCCACACGCTGTGTAATAATCCCTGCCGTATAGCAGTATAATAATCCTAGCAGTGTACTGTATGTGTGATAATCCCTGGAGTATAATAATCCTAGCACTGTATGTGTAATAATCCCTGCAGTATAGCACTAGAATAATCCCATCAGAAAATCTGTGTAATGATCCCCACAATGCAGCTATTTGATTGAACCTCATGGTTTAGCTATGTAATAATCCCCACTGTGTAGCTGTATAATAATCTCTGCAGTGCATGACCCCGCGTGTGCAGTAACTGTCTCGCTGCTCTCCCAGGCTTGGACGCATGCTGGCATCCTCCTAAAGCACAAGCACAGTTTCCTGGTGGGCTGTGCCTCCATCTCCGATGTCGTGGCTCAGGTGAGGATCGCTGCCGCCCCCAGCTTGATCCGGTGTTCGGTAACGTGCATTTTGCCGCTGTGGGTGACTAATGCAAACTATAAATGTTATGTTGCCAAGCAGGCGTCAGTCTGAATCGGAAATAAAAATGGCACCTTTCCATCTGAGGCGCCTAACTCCCCTGACTCACTGGCCTGAGTGTCTCTGCTTTTCTCCTCCTGGGATCTGCAGCAGCCGCTCTCTGGTTGCAGTGTAGCAAAGGTTTTTTTGAGAGCGCAGCCCCAGTTCAGACTGTGTTTGGTGAAATGCCGAACGCACCAACGATGACCGGCGTGTTTGTTCTGTATGAATGTTTAAACGGCGGTGATTATAGGTCCTGGCCGAGACACCAGCATCCCCTGAAATCCCACCCCCTCCCTTTGTCATCTGCTCTCCTTTCTTTGTACCGCAGATCATATTTGTGGCCATCCTCCTTCAGAGCCACCTGGAGTGCCTGGAGCCTTTGCTCATCCCCATCCTGTCCCTCTACATGGGGGCGCTGGTTCGCTTCACCATCGTGGGTCTGGGCTACTACTGCAAAATCCACGACTCCATCCCTGAATCCATCTCGCCCGAGAGGGGGGTACGTGGAGGGGGGTTTTCAGAGGGGCGGCTGTCGGGGGAGTTACCAGGTCGTGGCTGGAGCCTTTCTTCACGGTCCCCCCGCCAGCCCCCCCCCCCCCCCCCCCCCCCCCCCCCCCACATCTTGCAGGGAGATGCCACCAT